TAATTTTGCATATTAATTTTGTCACACTGAGTTTTTACATTATAATAGGCATGTTTTGTTATGTTGTTTTGTAACATAAACAAATACACAACTGTAAATTACACTATGATACTGGATTACATAATAGAATATACTATGCAGGATGCACTGGATTGTTACATGGATTTGTTTTGGTGTCAAAATTTGCTAATGAATTTAATTTGCAGGCTGCTAGACTGCTTTACTTCATACCTTCATGAAAGTCTATAGCCATTTGCACATACTGAATCAATATCCTGTATATACACATTTTATTATTATTCTTATGATACTTCTGCAGTCTTAAAAATATGAATACATTTGAAAGGGAAACTACAATTAAGGTCAAAAAGTGACGCAGTTTAATATGATAATAAAGTTGTATTAAAACAACAACGTCTTGCAGTAAAGGGGCATAAAGAGTATTGGTTTTACTATGTATATGTGTCCTAAGATGGAGAGCATTTAAATAATTTAAAAGCTATGTTCTTGTTTTGCTATCTTTGATGTGGTCATTCCTGTCATTTTACAGAGCTGCAGCCTGTGCCTCACAAGGCCTTATACACTTCTAAGAGATATGCATGTGATGCCACTCATACAACAACTAATCATCTGTGGGTAGCCTATGTACTACAGTATGTTGATGTTCAATAAAATGAAACACATTGTCAACCACTGCATGCATACTTGTGTAGGTATGACCTGAGAGAAAGCGGATGCCTTGTCAGCCTTGTCAGCTACAGTTAGGTTTTATTATGCACTTAGAGCCTAAAATAGAATTTACTGATACTTTTTTTACAGTTTTAAATGGTCCTTATTATCTTTACAGAATGTTTCTGTTTTGAATTTCTGTTGTCTACAATATGCATGCTCCTGCTGCCAAAAGGGTCCCTTTAATACACGATCAAGTTTATTGTGACTTTTGACTATTGGAACAATGACTATACAGCATATTCTCATTTCATATAATTCCTGAAAGAAACAATAACAATGGAGAACATTTGCTGAAAAACATTACAAACCACTTGGGGAATAAATGCCAGTATAGCTTTGTTCCATGCTGAAAGGCTGAATCACCTTTAAATAATACTTTTCACCTTAGATGCCAGTAGTTTTAGTAGAGAAAGAGTTAATTTATAAATCCCTGCTTGTGTCTTATATTAAAATATACATAAGACTGAAAACTGGTGGCTCAGCAAGTTGACTGATTCTAGGTATGTGAACCTTCATGACCTCTGAGGTGGAATTCATCTAAGGACACTGTGCAAATGTCATTGGGGATTAAAGTACAATTACCACCACATACAATTTTAGAAAGCAGACCAAGCAGCAGGCCCCTGTATCTATTTTACTGTTTTACAAAAAACAGTGTGGGTTTCATGGTTAAGAATTTGGGTTTAAATTCAAATACCACCAAAAGATCACATGAGCCACATTACTTTATTGAAGAGAGCTTAAATGTTGAATCCAAATAAACAGATTGGGTCAGGTTGTCTTACTGTGCTGCAGCAAAAGTAAATCAGTCTGTCACGGCTGATGAGTAGCAATGACTACCAATTATTATGCTTTTCTCTGCTAGACACAATGTAGTAAAGTATAAAAGTCTGAAAATATTCCTCAAACTAGAAAGTATAACTTTACCTACAAAAGCTTATAGCTGACCCATTGTTGAGGGTCTTAACCCATTTTACTGGTGAGACTGGAACATCTGGTCAGGGGAGAGAGATAAGAAAGAAAGAAAGAAAGAGAAAGAAAAAACAGAAAGGCAATAAAAGAAGGAAAAGCTCTGTGATGTGTGTCTGTGAAGTGTAATTTGATTTCTCTGAGAGAAGCATGTTGCATATTCAGAAGGATGGAAACAATTAACTTCATCTGTTCATCAGATCCAGAGGATAGCCTCTCATTTACATATATTATGTTTCACTTTGTGAGTATGTGAGCGTGTTAATGTGTGTGTTCCCCACAGATCCAGGGAAGGATCTTCCAAGGCCGCCAGGCTTCCTTCCTTTTCATACCAGCCACAGTCAGCCACGTCCTTGCAAATGCTGCCCTCCCTGGTTAAGATGACAGAGCATCCAGTAGACAAATCATCTACCATCACCAACATTTTTTGTTTAGGTTTCTGTTTGTCCCTGCAAAGATAGTAACTCATGGACTTTGGGCTGTACAAATATAGAAAAACAAGGCCACATACACACATTTGTAAGCCTATCTTTGTGAGGATGCTCATTGACATAATACCATTACCCCAAATTTACCTGCCCCAGCAAAATACCTAATCCCAACTTTTATCTAAACCTAAACACAATAAACTTAACCTTAATACTAAGCAGTCCTTTGAATACATGTGACAAAGTGATGACTGTTTTGCCCTTGTTTCAAAGCTCAAACCAGTCCTCACAGTGCTGGCCGTACAGGTACACCACATCTGGTAAACACTGTCACTCCTTACCTCTAATAAATGATAATAGCAAAACCTCTCAGGGGAAAAACAGACATTTCATATGACTATATTTGGCTCCTACTGAAAAGCTATGTTTTCTGAGGTTTCCTATCTGTCATCACACAGTAAAACAAGAATGCCTCTTACTAAATGAAATCCTACAATTTGTTATGAGGTTCTTCAGTAATGTACCATTAAATAGCTCACATATTTTTGATGGACCAAGAACTTGAAGGACTGATTTCTAAGAATGTATACATGCAATAGTAATAATTATGGCCACTAAACACAATATGTAATATTATCACCCTACAGTATGAGATAATGAATGTGATAACAAGGAGCTTATACCTTCAGCAGATGCAGGCCAATATTAGCATTAAATTGGAGTTGTGTTTTTGGCCAGTTAACAAATGTAAGTCCAATATTCACTTTCTTTTTAGCTCCTGAGAAACATAAACTTCTGAGAAAAATAAAGCACAAGTAAAACAATACTAATAAGAGGAGTGACAGTGAATCAAAACTTTAAAGTTGCAAGCCGGAAAATCAAAACAACTACCTGAGAGAAGCTACAGAACAACACTGTGTTACACTGTGGGGAACCTTTCATATAAGTGTACTACAGTCATGTTATCCATTTTTATTAATATAAAAATAACAATATGGCAGGTTTAAAGCAAGAGTGCAGCATTTAATGTACATGTTTTATCTATGAAAAAAGGCCTTAAACTCAACATTGCTTGTTTTTAACATTTAAAGGTATGACAATAATTTATATTGTTGTACATTAAACTATTATGCCTTCATATAATTATTATAAAGTCCATCAATTCATTATCTATAGCGTTTATCCTAACGAGGGTTGTGGGGGGCTGGAGCCAATCCCAGCTGACACTGGACAAGAGGCATGGTCCACCCTGGACAGGCTGCCAGTCTTTCAGGGCTGACACTTATAGACACACACACACACACACACACACACACACACACACACACACACACACACACACACACTCCTATGGGCATTTTAGAGTCACTAATCAACCTAAGTTGCATGTCTTTGGACTTTTGGAGGAAGGCAGAGTACCTGGAGAAAACTCATTCAGACAGAGGGACGAACATACAAACTCCATGGAAACTTCTTGCTGAGCCGACTAATCACACTAATCATTGCACCACTGACCCCCCATTATTATAAAGTACATGAATTTTCAGGGAACAATTGCATCTTCGTTTTATTGCAGTTGTGTTGTGAATAACAAAATGCTATATTGTCAATACAACTGTAATAACATTTCAAGAATTAATGCCACAATGATTTAGTCATGCTAAAATTTTACAATATACCCTTAAATGTAATCCCCTTTAAACAAGAAAGTTAATCAAGTTAACCAGTCACTCACATCTGTTTAACAGTGTACAGGAAACAAACTCATTTATGCTCATAATCTTAGAATTTTCCTACTAAATCTTGAATCTTCTCTATCTTTAAGCCTTCCAATTATTATACATCCAAAACCATCAACAATTTTCTTGTGTTTCATGTTCTCTTCAGCTAAATGTACAAACCTCAGAGACAGCCTATAATTTTCCATGGTTGGTGCTGTCTCAAAGAAGGCACATTTAAATTATATTGCATGGTACGCTAGATTCCAAACTTATTTTTATGCTTTTTTTCCTGTCTATGGTCAGAAACCAGCTGTAGCCACAGACAGTTTTCTCTTTGGTCTTCAGGAAGTAGTCTATAGCCCCAGAAGCAAAATTACAGCACAGAGAGCTCAGACTGAGGGGGAAAGGAACAGAAGTTTCTTTAAAGATCTTAAACTCATGAAAGAATTTAACAAAGAAAGAAACAATCATAAGAAATGTGCGTGTACTTACATATGTTTGCTTGGAGACGACTTTGCTAAAAGAGGTCATGACTCATTCCCTCATTCTGCTGGGTCTAGAGCTGGAAATCGACCCCCCACAGTGACCCAGACCTTATGATTTAACACACATTCCAAATCCTTCTGACTCCAATAAATAGTGGCCAGGTTAGTGAGGTCCAATGACATGAAAAATATAACAAAGGTACATAGTCCTGCCACTGGACCAGATGAGGTGAGTATGTGTTAAGATAGTGACAGAGACAAAAAACTGTTAAAGGAAGAAAGTTTTAAACACATAGCTGACGACAATTTTGTGAGAAAGTCAGCAGGTCAACACATGTATTCAGGAAAGGTGAGTGAGGCTAAGCAGACACTGTGCTCATGCTGAAGATATGCAGCTCCAGGGTGACCTTTGAACCCACATTCAGCTTTGTGGGATCAATCATATGAACCTCTACTGAGGTTTCTCTTCATGTTTTGACTTGTTGCAGACTTGTAAAGCTGAGCAGTGGTAGTAGAGCCGGAGACATCGTATGACATATTTTTATTAGGTTTGTTCAACTCCTGTGGCACGTTTGAACCAATTCTGTGAAATGTTATTGTTACGGTCTGCACCGTCAGGTGAGCTCAATATGTGGACCCAATATGCAAGACTCAAAAAACCGGTTCTATGAATGGTATTTATTGAACAGAGGACAGGGAAGGCTAAGTGCACACATGCAGCTGCATGAACACAGAAGGGAAAGGGAACTGACTGGACAGCTGGAAGCAGGCATGGGGAAGATGCTTGAGCAGAGGAGGAGGTGCTGGTGGCACTGTATGACCCAGGCATAGCTAGGCTGCCCAGAAAAGCAGGGAGAATGCTCCTCTGCAGGAAACAGGAGAGATGGTTGATGTGCGCTGGCATCTGTATTCTGAAGGATGGCAGTGACGGGCACACCTGAGGGTGAAGCAATTGAGTAGTAGAGGTGTCATTTACTGCTGGCAAGGAGCTGTGGCAGGTGGCGAGGTGCTGGAGGACAGAACTGGCGAGCATGGTACTGAGACGTAATGGCAACTAGTCCACATTACAGGAGTTGTCTTGGCAGGCTGGGATGCAGGGTAGAGTTCAGGATTGCTGGAGTTGGGATCATCACGGACATCTGCATACATAACAGGAGGAGAGCCAGGAACACATCTACGACCATGAGGAAAAACTGGCGATGAGGACAGACGAGACACCGCCTTATATGCCACTGGGTTTATACTGTTTGTGCTAAATCCTATTTTGACACACCATTGATGTGTTTCAGTCAAACACAGACAATGCACTCATACACAACATTTACTGCAGAACACCATAAATCACAAAGTTGGACTGAGCATTGAAGACAGCATGATGTTTTTCAGTCATCATGAGATTTGATTCATTCAGTGTGCAATTATTTAAAGGTCAGTAACTATCAAGAGACATTCTGACATGAGCATTCAAACCTAGTGGGATACACTAAACTCTATACTACTGTCTACATGTCTGTAAAAAGACTTACAGAGAAAAACAGATTAAATTGAAATATCAGGAATGACATATATTTTCAAAGCACTTGCAAACTAAGGAAAAATTTTGCAGAAGGTTGAAGGAGTTCATATAAAAATCCTTTGAGATGTCAACAGAGCTTGTCAGCCTGGAGACAAGGTTTTGTTAAGCTCTCATTGGAGATCTACTGTATGCAAGGACTGCACATCCTAAACTGGAGTGAAACAGTGGTCATCATTATGGGTGAATGAACTAATTTTACTTTGCTTAGCAACTTTCTAATGCTTAGTTATGTGGCAACTAATCATATAATGCTGGTAATGGTTCCAAACCCTGGTTCCAAATGAATTCTTTACTGTATATGTGAAAAGCTCCTCTTTAAGTAAGTTCCCCCAGACTTGGCAGTACAAGACAAATTCCCAGAAGCAGCCAAACCTTCTGTACATGTACATGAATTCATCCTCCTGCAGCTACTAAAATGAGTTTTACAGCACTTGAATACATCTTGCTCCAGCCACTGAGAACACTACACTTCCTTGGACTAATGTTTGCTTGGCAAGGGAAATTTCCGGTGTGGGACAACTTGTCCTGTGACCTCCCTGTGCACTTCTCACAGGGAGAACAGCTATGTAGCCTCCGGGCAATATGTCTTTAATGTAAGCTTTTGTCTTGACTGCTAAGGGTTACACAGGCAGGGCCTTGACCAGTAGGTTACTGGTTCATGTCTGGAATGGCTAATAAATTATTGGGTAACATTTGTACACGTTTAATGCTCTTCACCCCCAGTGCTATAAAAAGCTAATGTAAAGACTATGAGCGGTAACATTTGTACACGTTTAATGCTCTAATGTAAAGACTATGAGTTTGTTCTTGTTCAGCATAATTATATCATTTTAGGTCCTGACAGAGAAGAGTCTCTCTCAACAAACAGATTCTCTCTCCAGCTTGTTATTTTATCACATTAAAGTGAAGAGCTATGTGGTAATAGTGGTCATTACAGACAAACTTGACCGTTTTTAAAATAGCTGCTATCAGCACACCCATCACAGTCAACATGTAAAATATGAGTTTCTAGAAACCCTAGAAAGTCCAATATTCACTCTTTTTTACAGTGTGTTTCTGGTCTCTGTGAACTCCTGAAATGTCTGGTACTTAAGCTATTAAATGCTCCACTGTTTATTGCCTAGCACTTAAATCTGTCTGCCATTTGGATCCTTGTAGGTATTGTACAGTGGGTTTATCAGAGTTGTTTTGTTTCTTTAACAGCTGGCTACAATGATCTGCAAGATAGTGTAAGAGAAGAAGAAAAAAGCTGAGTGATAAGTCTCTGTGGGTTTGTTACTATAAGCAATTCTTCAGTACAAAGAACATAAACGAGAAACCAGGCTCAGTTAAGTGGCAAACTGGATGTACCAAACAGCTCAGTATAGGGAGCAGGCTTAATCAAAGTTGAGGGAGAAAACAGTTTGTTATCAAGCAGGCAGGCACAGGAAAACAGTTTAGACAGGAAGGAAACTACTTACTAGATCCAAGGAGAAACAAGTGTCCACACAAAGGTGAGTCCAACTGTTCAAACAGGAGCAGGCATGGTCCAAGTCCAAGCCATAAACAAATCAGAAATGCAGATATGCCTGAAAATCACTAGAGAATGGTCTAAATGAATAATTTATCAGTGAATAAATGCTGGCTGCTGGCTTATGTACTGACTCAATAATTGCACAGAGAGGAAGCAGGTAAGTGTGGGTGAGAAAAGATAGCAAAGGCAAGGGGCTGGGTCTAATACAATCTGGAAAACAAGAGGTGGAGACAGGCAGCTGTGAATCTATTAACTTTTGGACAGGGTGGCCAGGCTGGGTCACAAAATCAGAGATGGGTGACACATTAGAAATACATGTACAACCCCTACTTCTAAGAAATAACTTTTTTTTGTAGAAATGAGACATACAGGGGATATTTACTAAGGTTTTGTGGGGCACAAAAATAAGAGAGTAGAGACTGGAACTTTATGCAAACACGCTCAATGCCCGATTTAACACTGCTGCAGGAGAGGGAATTGCAGTTGAAATTTTACATCAGTACAAAGCAGTTGTAAAATTTGTGGCCATGCTGTCAGGATGGCAGCTGTTAGTCATTTGCACTCCTTGGAGTGCACAACACTTGAGGAAGGAGAGGGTGTTTGTAAATCACATTGCTCATCAGAGGAAAATGTGAGAGACTTTTACTTTCAGGTCAAACCATGCTTCAGTTACTGAACAAAAAAAAAGATTTTACTGGCAGGACACTCATGACTGCAGTTCTGAAATACATTTGTTGGTTTCTTCAACCACTGCAAAGTTCAGTCCCAGAGAATACACTTTGTTCTACACTTCCTCTTGGTGTATTCAAATGAACACAGCTGTGGCTGTGCTCATTTACATCAATACAATACATTTACAATACACTGGTAAACAAAAAAAATATTGTTGCCACAATATTTTATCATCTGACAGTAATTTGGGAAAGGTTTAGTATATATCTCCCATAGTGCTTTCTTTAGCTAACTCTGGCTGCACTCCTTATTTACTCTCGGCAGGGGACGTCGCTGCTGCACAGCGGTTCCCCCCACTGAGGCAAATCATACCAAATACTCCACAAAAACACAAGTGGAGAAATGAATGCAAATATGCAAAGATCATGTGGTGTGATACTCCACAAAAACTAATTTGACCATTATCATTTATAAAGCACCAAAAATATGTTAGTTCTATTTAAAGTCCCTATGGCATGCTCATTTCCAGGTTTAATGTTTAATCTTGGGTACCTCTAGGTTAGCTTTGCTAAATTTTTCATAACTCCAAATAGTCTGTAATTATTTCAGAATGATAAAAGCCAATATCAAATCAAATCAATTTTGTTTATATGGCACTTTAAAAACAACATCCAGTTGACCAAAGTACTTTACATAGGCAGAATAAAATCACAATAAATAACTAAAATAAAATAAATAGGTTGAGTGCAAAAATAAAACAATAACTCAGATACACAGATGACACACATTCAATAAATGACATTAAAAATACAATATCAAAAAGAGAGTCACCTCCTGAAAACGAGAGGATAGTTTGTGAATGCACACAGCTCCTGTTGCCAGTCAAAAAGCTGCAACAATGCATAAACAAAAAAACTTTGACAAAGAAGCTACATTTTCAACAGTGACAATACTTCAAATCCTACCTGCAGTGTTCCTGTCAGGTTTGCCCGGCTGCACCTTCCTCTCTTCCTTTTCCTCACTCTAGTTTTGCTTCCCTGATTACACTATCTAACACACCTGCCCCACTTGCCTTGATTATCACCAGCTGCACCTTATCACTCTCCTCCCTACTTATACCCTGCTCACTGATCATTCCCCTGCCAGTTCAATCTCTGTCTCCAGGCCCCTTTGATTGTTGTTTTATTTCTTGCGCTACTTGCACCAGTCATAGTTCTCTCTTTTTGTTAAGTATTACCTTCTTTTGTTTTGTCCCACGGCTTCCTTCCCCCTCTCTACAGACCGCTTCTCTGGACCCTGGATCTACTTAGCTCTCCCAGCCACCACCATACAGGTCAATGCACAGTCTCCTTTAACTGTTTGTTCCATGCTCCTGTCTCCGCAGTCATCTTCACCTCAACCCCGACCTATCCAAGAGTGGCCCCAGCATCCGCAGCCCGGTCTGTCATTATTCATCACTCCATAGACTGCATATGTTTTTTTCTCCCACCGCTGATCGACACCTGGTTACCACTAACTACCTCTCCACTTCTCATTGCACTGTTTGACTTTGTAAATAAATATCACTGCTACCACCGAAGCCAGCTATCTGGCTATCTTTTTCCCCGCTCGCTCATCATAGTGTCGAGCGTATTTAACAGTTCAAGCCAGAATATGAAAGTGGACAGCATGACAAACTGCAACAGCATTAATTTATTTGAATTTCTCTTCTATAGATAGGTAAACAATGGTATAGTACTGATGGAAGGAAATCCGTAACACTCCAAACTGAGAAATGAGTAATTGAGAAACCCCATATTTTAACTGGCATAATGCAGACACAGTAACTTCTCCAGCCTTACAACAATTTTCTCTAAAGAAACAATTCATTAACAGGCATGCAACATGTAGGGTTTTTTTTTTTTTAAACTTACCATTACGTCCCTCTGAGTACTAGTTCCAAGGTCTGTAAATCCAACTGGTGATCATTGTGTCTTCCCCCACAAATTCCAGGTTACAGGTGACCACATACAATCCCAAAGTAGTGAAATTAATTCAAACACGTAGTGTTACACTGACATTAACATTATTGATTGTTAGAATCCTCTCAGCAATCTGCCACACATCACATGTAGCAAACACACTGGACTCAAGCAGTCAAAACAAACTGTGCTCCAGGGGGAATCCAGTGTTGATCAGCTGATCAGTCACTGCCCCAGGGTGCTTTACTGACTGGTTGCTTATAGGTTTCTAGCTGCTCCATTCACGTCATGTTAAACCCGGTCAGATAAAACAGTGGGTCCCTGTAGAACAGGGGTGCCCAATACATCGATCGCGATCGACCGGTTGATCGCAAAGGTAGTGTTGGTAGATTGCGTGCCATTCAAAAATAAATTGGATGTATCCGGCATAAAACATGTGCCAAATGTTAACATGCGAATGGTCAGTGTGACGATTTGCTGTGGCGACCCCAAACAGGAAAAGGGGAAAGTGACAATCATTCATATATAGCCTATCATCCATCCTCCCTATGGCATTTGCTACTTGATTGACATGCAGGCCAGCCAGTCTGAGATCTTGTCTTTTCTGACACACAAGTCACCAAACATGCACAGTCAACCGCACGAGCTAGGAGTTGTAAGGCGAAGCTCTCGATTTACTGGTCGATCTACATTCCGACTCTCACCTATGGTCATGAGCTTTGGGTCATGACCAAAAGGGCAAGATCCCGGCCGGATACAGGCGGCCGCAATGACCTTCCTCCGCAGGGCTGCCAGGCACACCCTGAGATATAGGGTGAGGAGCTCAGTCACCCGAGAGGAGCTCAGAGTAGAACCACTGCTCCTCCACATTGAGAGGAGCCAGCTGAGGTGGCTCGGGCATCTGTTTCAGATGCCTCCTGGGTGCCTTCCTAGGGAGGTGTTCCGGGGGGAGGAGGCCCCGGGGAAGACCCAGGACACGCTGGAGGGACTATGTCTCTCAGCTGGCCTGGGAACGCCTTGGCATTCCCCCGGAGGAGCTGGAGGAAGTGTCTGGAGAAAGGGAAGTCTGGGCATCTTTGCTTAGACTGCTGCCCCCGCGACCCGGTTCCGGATGAGCGGAGGAAAATGGATGGATGGATTGATGGAATGTAGGATGACAAACTGAGACAGTGGCAGATCATTAGCATGTATCCAAACAGTCTTCCAACCCTCCTTTTAGTCTGGATTAATGGCTGCTATTTTAAACAGACAATTACAGTTAAGTAATTTTTTGTCCGTACAGCACATAGAACTAAAGGCAGAGATGTAATTCTCTTCTTTGACACCTATTTTGATGGGTTTAATGTGTCTTTCTATTTGCAGCGTACTGTTTTGATATGTTATGATCCTTCATTCAGGAAAATAAAATGCCCAGCAACACTTGAAGTTTTTTGAGCCACTTTAATGAGCTACTTTAATGATCCTTAATTCAATATAACACCCAGTGAAACAGACTGTGACAGTCACTCAGTTAATTTTAATATTCCACAGTGTAATGCACAGTTGAAAGATTATTTGTAGCAGTAATATACAGTGTTACATGACACTTAACCTGACAGATTGTGACACAGTCAGACATCTGGTTTGTCTAAATAGTTGCATCCTTATGGCTGTGTTTGTATAATATGTCCATGTGTTATTCCAGTGTGTTTCCATTCTGTGTAAAGAAACATGGGACACTGACTGAAGATACAGTGGAAATCAAACAGACAGACATGGAAAAAGAGAGAAGGCCAAGTGAATACACAGAGTAAAAGAGAGAGACAAAGTGGGCTACACATGTACAGTATAATTTTTTGCAGATGCAAGTCACACACTCACACACACACACACACACACACACACACACATATATATATATACACATACATATATAGATATAGTCTGGATGAACAATGGACAATGCTGATTAGAGCTGTGAGTAAATTTTTGAGCCATGAATCTGAAACAGTGAGGTGAAAAACATTAAAACCTTCAAGAATCTGAGAGGAACTGTCACGTTGTGTAATAATTTTCAGTGGTTTTGACATTATTACCTAGTCATTTGATCCTCTGCTCATATAGAAAGTCACGTAACTGCCAACCAGTCTCTAAAGCATTCAATTCAAATGAATTATAATGGGATTTAGATAAATTTTCTACAACCCAGGAAAGCCATTCATTTCAATACTGCAACTTGTAAAGACTCAAACCTTCTGTAAGCTTTTTCTACTATAGATATTTTTAGACATTTTAATCAAAGATTTATTTAAGGCCCCGGGGAAGACCCAGGACACGCTGGAGGGACTATGTCTCTCAGCTGGCCTGGGAACGCCTTGGCATTCCCCCGGAGGATCTGTTTTGGATGCCTCCTGGGTGCCTTCCTAGGGAGGTGTTCCAGGCATGTCCCAGTGGGAGGGGTGGCACCATCTTAAAGGGGTGCGTTAGACTCATAAGTGATATTGACTCTTAAAAGAATATATCTGAAGCATTTTAATAAGGTGCACATCCTTCATCTCCCAACTGGCATGACAGCCAAGCTGGCACATGAACCGCCCTTCTCATCCCTGGGAGATATGCATTCC